CCCCCCCCGAAAAATCTGAAGTGCCCCCCCCCCCGGGGAAAGTTTCTGAAAGAAACACTGGTCGCCTTACTGGATCTATTAACTTTGCAGGCAGTTTTCAGTTTTCCCCGTTGGGAGGAACACATCTTCTATAAATAATGTCTGGATTGTAATACCCGGATCACCTCCACCTCCCGGGCTCGGCCTATTATCTCAAAATACCCGGATAAAATATGCACTCGGCTCATCCCTTTTGAAAAACTTCCTGACTAACATTTTTAAAAAAAATGAAGTTCTTGTTTTTCAAGTTCGTGTTTCAACTAGCACTTTTTTTTTCACGAAAAGATAAAGGTCAGAAACATCACAATGGTGTGTTCAACTTCAGTCAACACACGAGATATATTTACTTTAACGGGAATTTCACACGTGCTGTCACGAACGTAAACTCCTGCTTTGGTCCCATCAGTAAATGAATTATCGTTTTTCTGGTTGGACTCACTGACACACTTGTGTGACACAGCACAAAATTACTGATAGTCATCATACTATCATTATCAGCTGCATCACCCTTCTTGCTCATACCGGCAAATAATTTAGTGGTTGACACCTCGAAAATGACAGGTATTTCTAATTTTATTTTATGATTTCGGATTTCATTGAAACAAGTTTTGTATCATTACTACAATTACAATTCATTGACACAGGTCTGACATTTTATATGTTAAAAGTAGGCTTGATATTTAGAAGTAGACATAGGATAGATGAAATAAAACACTGTCGGTTTTAAAGGATAGCCAATGAAAGTGCTATGGCTATTGTTATTATGATATAATTATATAATTTAAATTTTGATCATTTTCTCTTTCGCCTTAAGTAGGCTAACTAACTTGTAATAATTTGTTAAAATAAAATAATTTCATTTTAATTAACTTCTATTGAATGATACTATTGATAAATTTATATCGTCTAATCATTTATTTAATTCTAAGTGTAAAAAAGTTAAGAAGAAAATAAAAATCTGAACATGGTTTACCACTAAAAGTAAGTCACCACGAAAAATCCATGAGGGCACTGCAATACAAATCAAGACCCACATTTTGAACCTATGAACTATGACCTTAATTTGCAGCTGGCTAAAAATAGCTTGCACTAATTTCTGGGCATTGGTAAAAGTGCGTGTTTTTAGTGACTAAGTTTGTAATGTATTAAAATTTTCATCACTGTTTGTGGATATATTTTGTTTAATTACCGTTCTCAAATATCAGTTACGTGTCTTAATTAATTATATCTCTTTAAAAAAAAACAACAAACTATTATTATTATTACTTTGTAGATTCCCTAAGTGTAAGACAGAGCTTGATTTACTCAGTATCGGCGGTTGCCGGAGTAGGGTTAGTTTCCTACATTGTCTATCGGTACAGATGCCGTGTTCCGCGATGGGACCGGCCTATCAACCCGTCAATTAGGAAAGATGAAAAGAAAGTTGGCGATGTATTCGACATTGAAGATTTAATGAAAACACTTGAACCAGGGCAGAAAATAAGTTTATGCAGATGCTGGAGGTCCAAAAAGGTAATAATCTACAATCGTTTAAAGGAGGGTAGTTTCAAGTTTGTTCATTTTTAATTTGAAAAAGAGTGCCATTACCAAAGATTATATCGTGAATAAGGACTATAGGGTGACCATTCGTACGGTACTGTCTTTACCAGCAGCCTAAATAACTGTGTTTTTTTTTTTTAAAGACATTTATCTTGCTCAGTATTTTGAGTAGTAACCAGTATAGTTTATTAAAAATGATTAATTTATCAAAAGTTGAAGATCGAGTAAGTCGAGTATGATGATCCAAAGTGACATGACTGTCACTGTAATATTCTTTTTTTCCCTAAAAGAGCACCCCACAGACAGAAGAGTTCTCTGTGTACCGGTAACAACAAATATTTTTAAAAATTTTTGGACAGCCGTGGCGCCTCAACGAATTGAAATGTCCAGGTTTTAAGTTTGTAAAAAAGGCCACCTTACTCTTCAATCACCCCACTTCCATTGCTTTAGTAACTCTAGACATTTAGGATTTAAACAAGAAAAGATAAGACATGACATTCATATTCATTTTTAGCCAGTCACTTTAGACTTTTCTGATGCAGTTGAGTGCTAAACCAATTTTAGAAACCATATGTATCATGAATGCAACTGTTTCAAGCATTACATCATTTTAGAAAAAAAGCCTCATAGCACAGTCATAATGAGCATTTCTTCCAATAACTTTTTCAGTGGCCTTACTGTGATGGTTTACACAAGGACCATAATATATGCACCGGGGATAATGTGGGACCTGTCAATATTATCAGAAAGAAGCAGAGCCGACAAGAGTGATGACGATGGTCATTATGGAAATGTTCAATGATTTTGTTGCTTTTGAAAATGTTTTATATGCATGTTTATAGTTGGTGTGAGAAAGCTTTATTTACTCAAGTCCATTCCATTAAATTTTAGAATTAATTAAATTGATATGCTACCATATCAAATCAGTGTAGTTATGTTTGTTTTTTCAATATGGGGAGAGACAGACAAACCTGACTGAATGTAATTACTAATCTTAAAATGTAAACTCCCTGTACAAACTTACCATTAAATACAATATGAGTGAATATATATGTTTACTGAAGTCAATAAATATTTAAATAAAGAGTTGAAGAAGAAATGTCAATGAAACGTAAAGATGCCGAATGACATTTTAAAATCCTGTGAAAATACCTTCCACTTCAGTTTACAACTCTTCTTCTTTAACTTTCCTTAATTTAAATTTTAACTGAAATCTACTTCATTTTCTTAGCAGAAACAAAGAAACAGAATAAACAACTCCAGATGAGATGGATTGAGATAAAAATTTGATTTAAATAATAATATACAGACATGAGCTTTTAAATATTTTAATTCTCAAAAGTTTTGTATGAAGTGTGATGCTAAGAAAACTAAGACTGAAACAATGTTGAGTTCTCTGGTAATACAATAATAAACCAATAAGTGCTGCTAATAATACATTGAAAAATCACAAAGGAAGGCACTGAGTAGGTCTAGCATTCTGAGTAGATATATTTAAAAAAAATATGCCAGTCACTTAATAGTTTCAGTTAATATAGAAATTATTGAGTCAGTCATCTGTTTTACATTGAAAAGATCAATAATTAGAAATTGTCATCTGTTTTACATTGAAAAGATCAATAATTAGAATTATCTCCTTCAGTCCCATTACTAATTAAAAATGAACTTACTTGTATAATTCAAAAATTATTTAGAGAAACATTAAAAAAAATGTTTATGCATAGGTGGATTTTGAAAATAAATGAAGCAGTCTAAAAATGAGATTAGATTAATAGAATGAACAGTATCTATTTCTTCACACTAATTATTATGTTTATGATTTATGTTAAAGTTATCTTATATTCTTTCTTATAATAAAAAGAAACATCACAAAGATCTAGGGTCTAGCTTTTATCATTGAGAAAATACAAATACAACATTGAAATCTAATATTGAAAAAAAATTCTTTATAAAGTTTGAAGAGTTATCTACTAATAGCTAATAACTTTGAGACTAAAATTAACTATGGTACTAGTCAACAATAACAAGAATACTACATTTAATTTAAGTTGAAATTAACTAGTGATACTTTACCACACTAAATATAATTTACAAAAAAATTATTTATTCAAATATAGTTTAACATAAACAGTAACAGTTCAGTAATTAGTTTTTACATTTCTTTTTCAGACATAATGGACCAACATTGTCTCCTGTCTCCTTGTTGTAGGCATTGTGAGATCCATCACAATAGGGAAACTGAAAGTAAATAAATAAACAAAATACCCCTTTTTAAATCCATCTGATCACATTAGGGAAGCTAAAAGTGTAATGAAATACATTTGCATCCATCTAACACAAAAAAGAAAAAAAAAAAATATAAAAAAAAAAAAAAAAAAAAAAAAAAAAAAAAAAAAAAAAAAAAATTGCTGCATAAGGATTGAGGTTGCAGGGTTACCCATAAAATAAGTAAATGAATGTCATTTTTAAAATATCACTTTTTCATGGCATGATGAAAATTTGCTCTAAACGAGAATTATTTTTTTTTTAAAAGAAGAAAACAGTTGCATGCCTTGAAATAAAGAGACATTAAAATTTGAATAATTACAATGGAACATCGTTAATTGAATGGGAATCCCACATGCCAATATAATGTCTGTACTAATAATCTGGTAACTTCCAACATTTTGGTGCTGTTTCTGTAATGAACTATTTCAATTTTATTGTTGGAAAGGCATACATAAAATATAAGAAACAATTTCATCTTTACATATTTTATAGTTTTTCTTCATAAGACAGAAACAAAATAACAAATGACAGTTAAGTTGCCTTCCCGGTTCTGCGGTTGACAAGTCTGTGGTGGCTTGTCGATTAGGAGGCGTCGGCCACCGACCCCCTCGGCGTTACCCGGGGAACACGACTACAAGGCGCGTCCTGCGTGGGCAGATAAGGGATGTGCTCGGTACCTGCCGTACATAAAACAGCTCCCACAGGGCTGCCAGTTGTGATACTTCCCAACTGGAAAAATAGCCAGAGACAGGGTAGGGATCATGATTAAAAGTTGCCGTTAATTGATATGAGGCGAGAGGCGAAGGTGGTAACCTCTGGCCGATGATTCTTTCTACGCAGCACTGAGAAGCTGCTCCAAGGCAATCGTTTCGGCCCAGCTACATCGCGAATTAGTTACGCTGTGGAAACCCACTGTAGAACCCCTCTTATAGGGCGTCTAATGCTTCCCTGGGATGGGTGGGGGAAGATATTAGGACGTACATTTTTTCCATCCCGGCTCTTGAGAAAGCCGATCGTGTGCACTGTGTGCAAACAGTGTCGGACCGACCTGGTGTCTTTGGGTTAGGACGGTCCCCGGCGGAGACCCTGGTCGAGCAGACTCGGGTGGGGGCTGTCCTGACAAAGGGACATCCCCAATGTGCTGCTCCACGGCCCGATACCGGGTTGGGGAGGGCATAAAGAGCGCAAGCTCGACGGCCCGCTGACGCCATTTATTAATGTAACATTTCAGTTAAGTTGCTAAAAAAATATTTTAAGCATTTAAATTTATGTACAGGTATTACCTTTTTAGATCTCCAACAACGACAAAATGCTGCACCATCACCAAGATCTTCAATATCCACAGAATTTACCACTTTTTCTTCATTTTTTTTAATGCCTGGATTGACCTGATTTTTAGGCCGACTCAAGGTTTGCCATACCACATAAATGGCGAGGGCTGCAGTGGTAATTACAGGAATGTAGCTGACATCACGACCTAATTTTAAAAAGAAAAAGTGATATATCTAGTGATTTTTGCCATACTGTTTTAATTTGGACAGCAAATTAATAATGATCTTTCTGCACAGCTGGGTAAGGTATCTATACTAAAAATCCTTTTTTATTTCTTCCAGTAGGCTATTATTCACAGAGAGTGTATCCTTTCATATTGCATTTCCATAATGATCTGTGTTATACAGGCAGTGACATAATTTGGTATGGTAATGAAAGTTTCATCAAGTCTATTTGTCTTTTCTTTGGTACGGTTTCTGGATTCCTGCCAGACAGCAATCTTTTCAATACTTTAGTCCAGGTCATCAAGCAACAAGGTCGTCTCTAATGTATACCTTGCTTCTTAATTGTGTGGTAAGTTCAATGAGCCATACAATAGCAAATCTGTGAGAGAATGCATTCCAGCTTCATTCTATTCTCTATTTTGAAATGTTCTCTGGTGGTCATAGTGGAGAACTCTAGCCTCTACATCTGTCATTCCACTCTGAAATCATCTCTTATATATTTATAACTTCAGTCTCTAGTTTAATCTCTGATTGGTTAGTAAACTAGAAGTGAATTACTTTGTTGTAAAAATGCCCACCTATAGTGCTTATAGTATAGAGATGGAGGGCTATGTGTAGTATGTGAAAGTGGGAAAAGGGAGGGATTATTTTTAAAAGTTATATTTATTATTTAAAAAAGATTGAAAGGGGGTGTGCATGATATTGACTTTTTTTTTTTTTTTCATTTGCAAAATCTACAGGGTCTTATGCTGAGGTTGAATGTATGTGTTAGTAATAGTAACTAGTACAAAGTATATATTTATTAACAGTATTAATACTTCTAGAATCTAGATTGTTATTGTTTAAAGTTTAAGGCCCTCCTAGCCTCAAGAGTCAGGAACCATCCACACATCTTCAATTCAAACTAAATCTAAACTTAAATTTTACACTGACATTTTCTCAATCATTAAATAAATTGTGAAACAATATATAATTGTTGAGGCTTTAAATAAAACCTAAGCGGTGTGAAGTATATAAATTTATAGTGGAACAAGATAATATAATATTAGGCACTTCAATAAGCGCACGGGGTCTGCGCATATCCCAAAATAACGCAAAAACGTGTGGCAATATGATATAAGGGGTAATAAGGGGAGAGACTGCAATCAGGTTAGTACAAAATAAAATGAGTAAAACAGAGTAGGGTTAAACCTGAAAAATAAACGCAACAAAACAGCGAACGTGTCGGCAGAAAGCCTTCGTCAGCGAACAAAACAACAGAAAAAACGTTATAAAAATAAGAAATAGCACTTGGCTGGTAAGTAGTATCTGTGGGCAGCAA